TAGACGCATAGAGCCCTGTGATAAACACAATTTAGCTTAGCCGACAAAGCTTCCAAAGTGACACCAACAAATACTCAACTCAAAAGCTGCCGAGTGGCAATAAACCTTTTTCAAAACTGTTCGATGTTGTCAATCGCACAGTAGCGCCAAAGTCAAGACCTTTATGGAAAGAAGACAGAAAAATAAGACATAATTGGTAATCAGTTTAAAACAAAAATAATGTTCGTCGTCGTACCACTTGAGCGACTTCAACAAATTAATTTAAAACAAAAACCCTGAAACAAGAGAAGACGCTTTTTATAAACAAATTAAATCATTTGTTCATGAATTTAAAATACCCGAGAAAGAGAAGGAGTTAATAAAAAGAAACACTGTGAGAGTAAACAGCGGCGAGAGCTTAACAAGGTTATGTTATAACAACAACCACAACAGCAGCCACAGTTTTTGCTGGCATTCCACACTCCGGCCAACTGACAAAGTTCGTGCATAGAGCGAAGCATTTATTGCGCATGCTCAACGTCAAACATTACGTGATAGTTTTGTTGTTGGTTTTTTGTTGGTGGTCTGTGGAAGTGCGATAGTTTTTTTTTTTTTTTTGTCTTCAATATTGAATTGCTTCGCATTCGCCGTTGCTGATCTTAAAAGTGAGTTAAGGCCAAACATTCATACATGGAAATAAGAGAGTGAAGCTTTTAAGTGGTCGTGAACGAATTGCGTGCAAGCTATATTATTTACAAGTCGGACTTATGTACCACTTGGTACCATTAAGTATACACATATAGCTTTAGCTGGGCCCTATATGAAAAATAAAGCTATAACCCTGATATTTGGATCATAGTTGATGTGCAGCGGTAAAATATTGGGGCAATTTTTTAATTCAAAGTGAGAGTATACCCATTTGTGGGGACTAATATATTGGAACTATATACAGGGTGAGATGAAAAAACTGCAACCAACTTCAGACTGCTGTCATTTCTAAGTCACTCGTCCGACAGCTGTTAAAATTATTCCAGTGACAGCTCATTATATTGTTTACAAGCGTACAAAAGCATTTTGGTGAGAATTTTCCAGAAAAAAGTTATTCGTGATGGAATTCAAGCGTGATAGTGTGATTTCTTTATATTTGACTGGAAAACCACAAGTGGCTATTGTTAGAGCACTCCAGCATTTAAATGTGAATAAATCTTTTGTGTCTCTCACCATCGCTCGTTACCGTAATACTGGTGGAGTAGCCCGACGTCAAGGAAGTGGACGGAAGAAAACAGCAACATCAGCAGAAATGGTTCGAAGAGTAAAGAAGCGACTTTATCGAACCCCGCGTCGCAATGGCCGAAAAATGGCTCATGAGCTGAACATATCGCAATATTCCATTTGGCAAATATTGAAAAATGAGCTCGGGGTAAAGCCATTGAAATTCCAAAAATTGCAAGAACTTACACAGCAACACAAAGAAAATAGACTCAAAAGAGCTAAAGAGTTGCTTCGCTTGACCGAAAGTGGTAAAATGCCGAATTTGGTTTTCTCCGATGAGAAAACAATTCGCTGTCCAGCAGTTTTTAAACAGACAAAATGATCGTGCACCTTCGGTTGGCCACCGGAACTCGAGCGCCGGCCATGGTGATGGTGTGGGCCGCCATGAAAGCCGGCGTCGCTCTGCGCTCGTATTAATATTCTGGATTCGCGAAAATATTCTGGAGGGTGTATTAAAGCTTTGGGCACGCAAATATTTTAGCCGCAGACCTTGGACATTCCAACAGGTCTCAGCACCATCGCACTCATTACGCGCTGCCCAAGAATGGTTACAAAATGAGGTTCCTCGCTTCATTTCCAGCGCACAATGGCCACCAAAATCTCCGGATACCAATCCGTTGGACTATTGTGTCTCGAATATTTTGGAAAGCAAAGGTTGGCACTAAAAAAAACCAAAGTGTCGATCACCTCAAGCAATCGTAAACCTTGGAAACCATCTGTGACATCAATATCGAATTTTAGAATTTCAGCTATGTCCCCTCACCCAATACCAAATTAAGTAACATTTAGTACGCATATCCAAATAATCTACATATATTCATCCTAGAAACCAACAGTGATCCAAAATTAGTAGCAATTAGTATTTTCGAATAATTTAGTACCTATTCGTAAAAACTCCACCAGATACCAACAGAGACCTCAATATTCGCGATTCCAGCTCTATACATTTACATATCAAATTTAGTAACATTTAGTACTATTCGTACAATTTTAGTACTCATTTACGATACCATTCTATATCTCAATCCAAGACACCAACAGTTATCGCAATATAAAATTTCTCTATTTAGTACTTTTGGTACAACTACAAAATTTCAACAACTATACAATTTCATCCCTTCACCCAATACAAAATTTATTTCAATTTATTACTTTTCGAACAATTATATTATACATTTCAAAAACCACCTCCATCTTTCCACCCTAAGCACCAACAGTGACCTCGGTATCAGATTTCAGAAATTCATCCCTATTCCAACAGCCAACGGCACAATTTGTGGCATTTTGTACTTTTTATGCGTTTGTGGTACACATTTCCAAAAACACCTCCTTCTCTCAACTACATACACCAACAATGACATTCATATAAATTTTGAATATTTCAGCTCTATCTCTTCACCCAATACCAAGTTTAGTCCAAATCTCAACCTCAAATATCGAATTACAAAATATTATCATTATCCATTCATCCAATACCGAATTTAAACTTTTCGTAAAACAATTGTACACATTTCCAAACCACATCCATATATCAATTCAACATATCAGCAGATACTCAATATCAAAATTGAGGATTCTTTTTTATAACAATTATAGTACACATTTCCTGAACTACCTATATATCCCAAATCCAGAACCAACCTCAACATCAAATTTCAGGATTTTAGCTCTTTTCTTTTACCCAATACCAAATTTAGTACAATTTAGTACTTTTCATACAATTATAGTACACAATTCCCAAACCACCGCCATACCTCATTTCTAGATATCAACAGAGACTTCAATATCAAGTTTGAGGGTTCTAGTCCTATACCTTCACCCAATATCAAATTTAGTACTACTAAGTAATTTTCGTTCAATTGTAGTACACATTTCCGAAACCATCTAGATATGTCCAAGCTACACATGAACAGCGACGCTAATATCAAACTTCAGATTCCAAGCATTATCTGTTCACCCAATACCAAATTGTACCAAATCATCTCTTTATCCAAACGTACCACCAACCCCAATACAATATATCAAATTCATCCGTTCCGCCACATTTCCAAATTTAGTACCATTAAGCACAATTTAGCACAGTTCTCACACTAAGTACACATTTCCAAAACCACCTTCATATGCTATGTAGGTGGAATGTAACTCCTCGAAATGCTCATGTCAGACCCAACAATGTATACATATTCTTTATCAGCGTAAAATTCTATGTCGATTTACCGATGTCCGTTTGTCTGTCTGTTGACTAAGATTTGCACATATGTGTATTTTGTCATTCGAAAATATTACAATATTTATGGATTCGGAACATTATTTCCTGAATATTTACAAGTATACAACAATATCGCTTGAAAGTAATATAGGCTATATACATTTTTGAAATTCCACTTGGAACTGGAGATATAGCATCATCCAAAAAAATTTAGATTTGATATGCACATATCTATTGATCGATTACAGATACAGTCTCCAAATTTGAAATGGAACAAACATAAATGTGCCAAATTATATTGAACTCGGTCCAGTTTTGGCTCCCATATAAATTTTCGGTCGATTTCATGTATTTGATACATCAAACACGTTGTGTATGTCAAATTTCAATGAAGTAAAGAAAAAAACTACGCAACAACCTAATTGACGCTACGATTATTACAGGGAAGGAAGTTGATATATATAGCCAACTAGAATCCCTCCAACAGCTACAAAAATGCCGTTTAACTTGAAAGGATTGCAGTTTCCTACACGGTTAGCATTTGCTATGACAATTAATAAATCCCGAAGACAAACTCTGATTACATGCGGACTAAATTTAGCATATTCCTGTTTTTCTCAAGGTCTAAAACGCATACATTTTATATACAATTTTGATTGCATACAAAAGCAAAAGGGGTAGTGAAGCGCAACGAGAGCGAATTTGGCAATATTCAAAAAAATAAATAAAATTCGTTAAAAATTCTGTTAAAGTCTTAAAAATACAAAAATGTAGCCGTTATATTAGAGCCTATACGACGACGTGGACCTGCATAGGCAACTTTTGTCATAATCGAAATACCGAATATGGGGAGGTACCGTTATATGGGAGTTATACGAATACGTAACCTGCACAGACAATTTTCTGCCTTACGCTGTAGTATCCATTGAAAACTTCAAATACGACATCTCAAACAATTTCGGTGAGTGTTGTACCTAAAATCGTTAAAATACTGATATATGGAGCCTATACGAAGACCTGGACCTGCATAGACAATTTTCTGTCGCAGACTATAGTTCCCATTACAAACTCTAAATACGTAATTTGAAACTACTCCGGTGAATAATGACGCTAAAATCATCTACTTCATTTCGTTTGTAAGATAGAGTGAAAGACGAACGGACATCGCAAAATCGACATAGAATCTTATGCTGATCAAGAATATATATATATATATATATATATACTTTGTGGGGTCTAAAATTATTATTTTGATGTATAGTGGTGGGTACAAAAAGAAACCAAAGTTTTGTACTAAGAATTTAAATCAGGTTCAAATTCACAACACAAAACTAATGAAATTACAATTTTGATGAAGAAATGCCCTGCCTTGGATTTTCTCATCCACCCAGACAACAAATGTTGTCGCAAACATAACGCTGAACCAAGTCTACCGACGCTGCACCAAGTGCAGCTGAGCGAAACTTTGAACACAGAAACATAAGCTTGTAAAACGCTTAACTAAAATTGTACAAAATGTTGGCATTCAGTTAACGATTAAGCGCGTAAGAGTAAAGTACCAAAAAATTGTCAGAGGGCCAATAAACCCAAAATCGATAACAAAAAACGTGAGTGGCAGCAGTGACGACAAAGTTGAGGGAAAATACAAAAATAAAGCAAATTAAAAAAATAATTGTAAAAATTACCGAATCGAAAAAATAATAAAAAATATTAAATATAATGCCACTGTTTCTTTTACTAAAACAAAATACAGTTTTTTTTTTGTGAATTGTGGAGATTCGTTTGACAAACAACCACAAATATTTATATTGGAATGTTGCAAAACATTGATGAAATAGAATGGAATTCATAAATCCAAAAAAATATTTTAACATAATTTTATGTTAATAAAAACAAAAAAAATCAAATAAGTTAAAAGAAAACATAAACGAAACCAAAGGTGAATGCACAAAAACCGCGCAGTAAAATGGAATTCAAGAATTTGTAGTAAAAAATAATGAAAACACTAAATCAAACTCAAGGCCGTTTAACTGTTTTATTTATTATTAATTGACCAAAAAAACAACAAATTACAAAAACACGAAAATAATAATAAAACAATAAATACAACCACAACTATTGTTACAAAATTCGTTACGCTTTGTTCTTCAATTATAAACAATAAAGCAATTTTTTGGTTATGAAAAAATCAGAAAAAAATATTATTAGCCATATATGAGTATGAATAACGGTCCGTGTGTGTGTAACTACTTCTCTGCTAATAAAATTTACCAATATTTACCAAAAATATATCACGAAAAAATAAAAGACACAAAAATACCTTCGTACATTCATGCATTCGCCAATCAACCGCCCGCCTAGCATACAGAGTGGATATTTACTCCGTACCTGTAACTGTGGCCGGCCGTATGGGCCAAAAGTGAGAGTGTTTGGCAATTGTTTAACCGGCCACTTTTGGAATATCAGACGCGTTATATTATTGTATGAAAAACAATAACAACAGCAACAAAACAAAAACAGAAACGCCATCATAACCAACCCACGGACAACAAACAAACGAAATATAAACAACAACAACAATAACTTGATTCATAAACTGACCAACCTCACAGTGTGTGAAATACATACATACATACATGCATAGAGACATACATACGTGAATATTCAACTACGGCACAATAAACTATTTTGTTAACACTGTGTGAACCGGATGGGGTCAAAATGTTTACAAAAAATTTTTATTGAAAAAGTCTTAAGGTTCGACCTCCACGAAGACTTAAAGATAATCTTTAAGGAAAACTCAAAAGTCGGGCGGGTCCGATGCATATTTAGTAGAGCTCCGTAACAAAAGAATTTATTTGATGTATATCATGCCACCTATCAACATTTCGCTTAAGAGCAGTTATAGTTTGCTTTCAGAGGGAGGGATATCCAATTCTGAATAGATTTTCACTAATCGAAATCGGCTGAAGATATATATAGGAGCTATATATTTTATAGAGGTATTCCTGGGCTATATCTGATATCCGGTACCAAATATGATTTTTGTCGAAAACAGATTACGAATGTGAGGGACTTAAACACCAAACCGGATGAAACATATGTAGGGAGCTATAGCTATGTCTATTTGGTTCACAATTAACCCGAAATCGGTAGAAGATATACATGGGAGCTATATCTAAATCTGATCCGATTATCACCAATAGGGTTCTTCCTTGTGACCTGCATTTTGTTCACAAGAATACATGGACAGACGGACGGACGGACAGACCGACTGACATGCATAAATCGACTCAGAATGTGATTCTATGAAGATCATCAAAAGAAACTATGGGTATATCTCTCTCCCTTCTCCAAGTTTTTGTAAAATAAAATATTGTAATGTCAGAAATTTGAAAAGAATCGGATGGGTATGTCGCATTTTATTAGCCTTACAGGGTGAGATAAAAAAACTGCAACAAAGTCAAACGCCATAATTTTTATATATTTTTTCTAAATATTATTGAATGAAAGCAAAAAATGTCGCAAATAGCATACAATTTTTTAATAAGTTTAGATTTCTTCGAATTGGTCACCTTTGACACGAATTATGGCCTTCAAACGGCCATTGAAACCGTCACACATTGCCCGAATGTTGCTCTGCGGTATTTTGGCCTATTCCCGGCGAGGATCACCGCTGCCTTGAGGTGATCGACACTTTGGTATTTTTTAGTGCCAACCTTGCTTTCCAAAATACTCCAGACACAATAGTCCAACGGATTGGTATTCGGAGATATTGGTGGCCATTGTGTGCTGGAAGTGAAGCGAGGAACCTCATTTTGTAACCATTCTTGGGCAGCGCGTAATGAGTGCGATGGTGCTGAGACCTGTTGGAATGTCCAAGGTCTGCGGCTAAAATATTTGCGTGCCCAAGCCTTTAATACACCCTCCAGAATATTTTCGCTATAATATTCGGCATTTATTCTGACGATTAATACGAGCGGAGAGCGACCATCGCCTGTTATGGCGGCCCACATCATCACCATGGCCGGCGCTTGAGTTCTGGTGGCCAACCGAAGGTGCACATTTTCAGCTGACCTCTTTGGCAAAGCGGAGTCGGAAAAAACCAAATTCGGCAGTTCACCACTTTCGGCCAAGCGAAGCGGTGTAAGTTCTTGCACTTTTTGGAATTTCAATAGCTTTACCCCGAGCTCATTTTTCAATATTTGCCGAATGGAATATTGCGATATGTTCAGCTCACGAGCCAAGCCGCTTCTTTACTTTTCGAACCATTTATGCTGATGTTGCTGTTTTCTTTCGTCCACTTCCTTGACGTCGGGCTACGCTAACGGTAACGAGCGGTGGTACGAGACACAAAAGATTTATTCACATTTAAATTCTGGAGTGCTCTAACTATAGCCACTTGCTCTAAGGGTAGCCACAGTGTCTGTGTGTTTTTTCAATTTTATGACATCAAAATATTGTTGTATATGTTACAACAAGTGAGAATATTAGAAATATCGGTAACCTTTTTCCAAGTTCATAGTAGTGTGTTTTACATATTCCAAATGGGTAGGTGAGTACCCGATATATCAGGCTCAAGTTGCGTCCACGAATGGACAATATTGATGCGATATGATATCAGAAAGATTCTTCCAGAAATGATTAGTGCGGATACGAGTTCTTGAATTGACATATATAGGTATACGCCGATTAAATGTATTTTGATGATGAGTCACATTTTTTAACAGAACTGAAAAAATATTTGAAATTTATATTGGTTTGTGTAAGTACAGGTCTCCATTTGACTGAGCACCCATTGGTATTTTTATGCACATCTTACCTGCTGTTACTACTCTAAATTAACGAAACGGTTGAATTGCATATCTCGAAATAGATCAAGGTTTCGTTATCCTATGGACGACAATCATTAAAAGCCCAGCCCAGCCTATCTCGAACTTTTCGGTTTTGAATTAGCATTTAATTCTGCAAAAATAAAATCGGTACAAAAAACCCTCACGATTCACATAGTGTTAAAGAATGGATTAAGCCACACCATATAATAACGTCGGATATAAAAATATCTGCAAGACAGAAAACTTGTTTTATATGGTCACGACAACTGGGACTGGTGGAATGGTTACAAAACCCCAACGAAAAAACGTTTATTTGTATTACTTGGCCAATGTTTCAGCATGCCACATGTTGCACACATGATACGAGCTATGCAAACATAGACACACACACACACATGCATAGACGCATGTGTTTTAACCCACTTTTGAGTTGACGTATTATTCCCTCTAGTCGTGTGAACAACCTTTAAACAAGTTTGCCACTATTTTGCCAAACTGCCGTACATTGCCTTGACAGCACACACACACATATAGACAGACACATGCATATATTACTTTCAATTTCAGTTCAACTTAAAGGAATGCTTTAGAAAAAACAAAACAAGTTGTTGGTTCTTCATGTGATGTAATCGGAGTGTATTAAGTGTCCCCCTTTTTTTGCAATAAAACAACGCCCTCTATAAATGTTTAATAATGCCACAAAGATCGCCCTTCAAACAATCACATCATCAGCAGCAGCAGTTTCATCATCAATCACCACCGGTTCTACAAGAAATCCAAGAGGCACAACTTCAACGTCATCGTCGTAGTGAACGCCAACGACATCATTGTCATCATTATGGCCTAAGTTTGTTAGCGTTGCCAGTATTAGCCATCTTTTTAGCCCAATGTAAGTATGATCCAACTTGTTTATTTGATAATCGGAATTTAATTATAATTAACAGAGCTGAGTAGCGATGGTAATCCACACACAAGCGCACACAAATTAAATATTGAAATGTGGGTTAGGAATCCAAATTTTAATGCAATGCTTTAAATGAATTTGTATGTTTTTTAGAGTAAATATTGGAAATAGATTTTGTAGGGTGGCATATATTATGGGATGGATGATTGGTATGTTAAGGTTGTCTTTTTACACCCTGCATATTAACTTTATCGTTCCTTTTGTAACTGACCCCGAAATAATATAACAATATTAGTTATGCCCTCAGCTATATGGCTACAGAGGGTATATATCACTTGATAAGGCCCTGTGTCTCTTTAGACCAAATCCTTTTCAGGACATTTGGAATCGATATAGATATGTCCGTCCGTCTGTCTCTCTGTCTGTCTGGCTGGTGAGAACGATTAGTCTCGAAGGTAGTATCCGATTTGGTCCGAACTTGGTACATCGTAATATTTTTGCCAAACTTAGATAGAGTTCGGGATGGGCGAAATGGGACCACACCTTCTGGTACCTCCCGCACAAAAGGTCAACATTTTCAAAGAAAGCAAGCTAACAAGTATCAGTCGGTTGTGATTACAGATGTATACCCTCAGCCAATATTCGAGTATTTAAATATATTTAGACTTCTGTTATGATTATTCAAATTATTGACCCCCTATAGAGTAGGTTCCGAAGGAATGAACCAATATTGTCCATTTCCTATCAGACCTAAATAAATATGATATAAATATTAGGACGTGCCAGGTTTGGACTTTATCGGTTATTTCCTACACTTTATATAAAATATGTGATAATTTTTAGAAAATGTTAAAATGTGCGTGAGGTTCATATAGTCGACCGAAGTATTCCATTTTCATACTTCATTTAATACAGATAAAAATATTGGTACGACAAAATTACAAGAATATCGAATATTTATATCCAATTTTATGCGAAATAAATTCCATATTCATCCCAGGTTTCTGGTTAAGAGAAATATTTTGTTTTTAAAGAATCATTGACTTGTTCCACAAGTTATTACAAATAAAATATTGAAAATTGTGATGCTTTGAAGGTGAGGTTCCTGTAGGGGTTCGTAGTTATGTATCATCTTCACAATATATCTTATGTTAGCAAAAATTTTTGTATGTGTGAAATTCGAAGAGCGTTGGATGCTTCTTTAGCGTTCTTTGAGCGTTTTGTTTTTCAAAATCTTGCAGCCTATGTGGGAGAGGAAACAAAAGAAATGGTCCGATCTCTACCATCTTTATAACAAATCTTGTGTTGATGGAAATATTTAGATGTACCAAGTCTGAATGGAATGGAATTCGGGTTTTATGAGCTTCATGGATAAAATTTTGACCCATTAGACTTACATTACACAGACTTACAGACTTACTTCTTCACAGCAGACCTTGTGTTATTACAAATAATGGGATGTGTGAAATATGAAGAGAAAAGGCTGCTTATTTTGGATTTTATATTCATTGTGGTTATTCAAAACTTTGACCCTTTGTGGGGCAGGTACTAGAAGAAATGATCCGATCTCTACCATATTTATAACAGATTTTGTGTTGATGAAAATATTGAATCGAATCGAATGTTTATTTCGCGTTTTATGAGCTTCATGGATATTCAAAATGTTTAACCTTTGTGAGGGAGGTACCAAAAGGAGTGGACCGATATATTCCATCTTCACACCAGACCTTGGATTAATAACAATAGTGTTCTGTAAAATTTGAAGACAATCGGACTCTTACTTCACATTTTATAAGAGTTATAACTATTAAAGTATTGTACTTGATGGAGTGACCTGATAATATCCATTTTCGCACCTGACGTAGGACTGATGGAATTATTAGGATTTGCAAAGTTGGAGCAAAATCGAATCATTCTTGCACTTTTTGGGCAGTAAAATATATATTATTACTATTATTTTTTTTTTTGAAAATTTCGACCTTATATGGGGGTGGTACCAGCAGGAGTGGTCCGAACTCCGATCTAAGTTTGATAATATTATTTCGATGTACCAAGTTTGGACCAAATCGGATACTCCCGTCAAGAGTTATAGTGAGCACCAGTCAGACAGACGAACGGATGGACGGACACCCCTAGATCGACTCCAAATGTCCTGAAATGGATTTGGTTTAAAGAAGCCTAGGATCTATAAGTTTTATTTTGATGAGGCACGTTTTGGTCGTATCAAATAATGCATACCCTCTGTAGCCATGTGGCTGACGGTATAAGAGTGCGAAATTAATCCGTCTGTGGAAATCAGTCTAGCTTCCGAACGAAATGATGTATGTTGATAAAATTTTACCCTTAAGTATATTATGTCTGCAGGATTTTGGTATTAAAAATGGGCCATGTAGGTAAACGTTTTGGTGCAACCCCCATATAATGGTACATATTTTCGGTATTTTCATGATTTTAGCGACATTATTCACTGGAATTATTTCAAATTTTGTATTAAAAGTTCATAATGATTTACTACAGCCTATGACCGTGCTGGTCCACGTCTTCGTATAGCCCCCTCCCGATACCTCCCGATATTCGGTATTTTGATGATTTTAGCGAATTTATTCACCGGAATAGTTTCAAAAAAGGCGTACACTGTTGTACGATTTTTCCATTTTTTGCGTATCATTTTATTAATTGCATACAAAGTAACATAAAGTTCTAAATTCCCTTCCCTAAAGTTCCCTTCTGCAATGGTACAGTTTTTAGTATCTTGTGGTACAAGTTTCCAAACTACGAATATTTCTTTACGCACGAGGCCAATCCTTCTATATTCGAGTAAAACAGTTTCACAACAAGTCTAAGGCTGGAAATACATAAAGAGCTTATTTGGATGGCTTAAGTCATCGGCTGGCTTCGTCGTAGATGAACAAAGGAGGTTTAGGTTGACTTAGTTCGATTTTGGCCCTAGGCTCCTTTGTTTATTTCCGAAGAAGCCAGCCGATGACTTAAGCCATCCAAATATGCTCTTTATGTATTTCCAGCCTAAGTTCTATAAAAATTGATAAAATATAATTCACCGATTTTGAACGTTTTCACAGAGTTTTCCATCGGAATTTAATTTGAAACATCTTGGTATCAGTAAAAACAAAAAAATTTCAATACAGATCCTCGTTTTGGTATGTGCCCAACATAGTTATTTTAAATGTTTTCATAGAACTGGCTGCAATTTGGTTTCTTAAAGCACTACTCACTTTTCTATTCTACATTACACGGCAGAAAAATTTCTTATAGGGTGTTTTCACAACCAGCAATGCCTACTAAGCCCATTCGTATTGTTTTAGTTTAAAACAATTTTACATTTTGATGTCTGCTGCTTGAATTTGATCAAACAGGTTTTTTTAATAGTTGGACTTTTGAAATTTGTAGCATCCATGTGAGAGCGAACGAACCAACGAACACCTGTCGGATGTGTATTTTAGACAACGATAACGAGCTCTGCTCACACACAAAGTGTCAAGGTCATTGGAAATAAGAGAAATACATGAATTGACATCATTGGACTTTGTTTTCTTTTCTTCTACCAACACCTAGAATACATCTGTGTCTTTGCGTTCAAATAAAATGCCGTAAAATCCTAATGGAAGGTAAAACGAAATAATTCATTGAAAACGTATTCGCATTCTGTGGTCTGTCTCATCATTGGGACATTACGTTCGAATTCTTAGAGGCATAAATTAGCTGCTACTTTATAAGTTTAGTGCTAAGGTCGCCGCGAATAATTTTATGATAATCAACAGTTGTTAACAGATATCAGGGTTAACATTAATAACCCTAACACAATGATCATTGGAATCTGCATTGAAACCGCTCTAATCAACAACATGAGCCAGCAACGACAGCTGAAATAAAGACATTCAAAAAGATATTCAGATTTCAAAGTAAAATAAGTGGAAAGAACAAACTGAGGACGTAGTTGATTTTTAGCAACCTTTCCCAGAACTTATAACCTAATAAAAGAAACGCTTTATAGCATAGTATACAGGGTGAGATAAAAGAACTGCAACCAACTTCAGACTGCTGTCATTTCTAAGCCACTCGTCCGACAGCTGTTAAAATTATTCCAATGACAGGTAATTATATTATTTACAAGCGTACAAAAGCATTTTGGTGAGAATTTTCCAGAAAAAAAAAGTTATTCGTGATGGGATTCAAGCGTGATAGTGTGATTTCTTTATATTTGGCTGGAAACCCACAAGGGGCTATCGTTAGAGCACTCCAGCATTTAAATGTCAATAAATCTTTTGTGTCTCGTACCACCACTAGTTACCGTGATACTGGTAGCGTAGCCCGACGTCAAGGAATTGGACGTAAGAAAACAGCAACATCAGCAAAATTGGTTCGAAAAATAAAGAAGCGACTTGATCGAAACCCCCGTCGCAGTGGCCGAAAAATGCTGAACATGTCGCAATATTTCTTTCGGCAAATATTGAAATATGAGCTCAGGGTAAAGCTATTGAAATTCCAAAAAGTGCAAAAACTTACACCGCAACAGAAAGACAAGTAAAAAAGCAGTAAGTTCGGCTGGGCCGAACTTTAAATACCCTCAACCATTTGGAACGAATTAGAAAATTTTCAAAAAAATGTAATCCATTGAAAATTCTGTTAAAATCTTTTAATTACCTAATGTAGGAAGGTGCCGATATATGGGGGGATATACGATATTGTGGACCTTTATAGACACCTTTCAGGGGTTAAAGTGCTCACAAAGAACTCCTTGTGTGAATTTTCAGACAATACCATTAGAAAATATAGCTAAAATCATCAAAATACCGAATATCGGGGGTACCGTTATATAGGGGCTATACGTTAACCTATATAGAGAACTCTATGTCAGGGGTTAAAGTACTCACAATGAACTCCTAGTGTGGATTGAAAAATGTGGCTAAAATCATCAAAATAATATTCAAGATTTTATCGTTCAAAATTGTTTACCTTTTTTAGGA